GAGTTTGTGTGTGTGCTTGTGTGTGTGTGTGTGTTAAATAGTATGAGTTGATGATGCATATTAAGCCTTTTGTTGTGTGTCCTCGGGTGTCGAATACGAGGTCAGGTGAAAATTTGTAAAGGAATTTGAGGTCAGGAGAAAATTTGTAAAGGAATTTGCTGAAATTATGTATTATACTCCGAGTACTTTCGACCATTTTTGGTTGTTTTTTTAAGGAAATAACGTAGAAAGGCGTGCACGTGTTAAAATACCTTTGAATTGTAAGGTAATTTAAACCACATGACGGTAAAATCCATTCAACTCACGCAGCAGGTGAATCTCCGTTTATTTCAAACTTCCGATCGTTAACATCAATAACATCAATAAGTCCTGCACTGGGTAACACTCGACCTTTTTTTTTGTTGGAAATGTCCAATGTAGGTTGAGAGTACTTGGAACGTTCTATTATAATTCTGCTTTTTCCATCCCTTCCTTAGTCAGTTCGTTTCTTAGTTCGCGTGACCGTTACGCCCTGCTCATAAATAATGTTTTTGACCGCATGAAAACAAGGAAATCACATGTCAGAGACGCTACTTGGTTTCATTTAGAAAATTAAAAAAATAAATAAGGGAAGATAGAAAACGATATAACACTCTTATGCGTTTAACGTTTATTTCACTGAAATGGAAAAAGCTGTCAATTTCAAATCTTTTCATTTGTACCCCCTTACTTCTTAAAATAACGACCAGCATTCATATTTATTGTTGTTATTGCAATATTTTGTTAAAGTTGTTAAGTTCAAATATTTAATAATGTGTTAGAGGGATTTATACATATATTTATTGCCGTAGAACTCGCTATGAGCGGATTCAATCATTAACTGAAGATTTAAGATTCATCAGAAAATTCAAATAGGAAAATCGTGAAATTTCCACTAGTCTTTCTAGTAACACGAAGATTCAGTAATTTCTTTAAACTAGTTTTCACCTGGCACCAAACGACTTATTCAATACCAGGAATTCACCAAGGTGCTAAACAGACATTCCCAGTCCATTCGACATAATGAAGTATTATAATTGTTGCACTATACTTTTTACCAATATATTTTTGTCGCCTGACAATGGCTCTGCGTGAAACTTGAAGCAACGACTTGGACCGAGTCTTTGAGTACAGTTTCACAGGATAGTATATATATATATATATATATATATATATATATATATATATATATATATATATGTGTGCACGCGCGTGTGTGTGTGCATGTATGTTTGTGTGTGTGTGTGTGTGTGTTTGTGTGTGTGTGTTACGGCTATGACTTTTTGTAAAATAATTGATTTTCTGTATCATAATTATTTAAAAATAATGAAGAGTTTAATTCAGCTTTTTTTTTTTTAAATGTTACCCACCCCAACACGAAATTTCTAAAATCATCCTGGAGCCTTCTAGAACTTTATGGAAGTGTTTTTTGTTTATTTTAAGGTTGCATATTTAAGCTAACGTCAGAAACTGTTAAATGCATTTATGTTATAGTGGAACACACCTATTCTATAGTTAATAGACTCTCCCACCTATAATACGTAGGAGTAGTAAGAGTAACAAGTCAATCGCTAAGTCGCTCAGTGAGTTGGTCAGTCAGTCGATGCGGGACGACCGTTAGTCGGATACTAAAGCATCAGTGACCACAACTAGATTTACTCTGCGTCATTACCTATTATATCAAGTTCCTAACGTTTTGTACGTCGAACCTATTTTAGGACCGACTTAGTGAAATACAAGCCTCCACTGTGAAACTACTCCATAACACTTTAAAAACACATAAGTACTATTCAACTGCATCATTAGAAAATTTAAAAATAAAGCTTCTGTAAGTTTGCAATTTTTGTTTATTCGTAAGGCTGTATGTTATGCTAGAGCTATAAACTGTTAAAAAGTGAATAAATTGCAAACTGAAACATAAACCTTTTGTTTTTTTACGCTTATTGCGCATATGGTAAAATCGAATTTTTTGTTGTTGTAGGGGGTGGTGACCATTTACAAGGCTTAAAAAAATTAATGCCTTTTCATTACTTATGAACGTTCATCGATTTATGACACAGGAACATCGCGTTGCAAAAATTATAACACTTCGGTGTGTTGTCGCTCGATGGTACAATCGCTGAGTGGAACGTCCATACGTCTGAACTCGTTGCTCCTCGCCACTCAACTGAACGATGGTATGCTGTGCGCAATTAGCTATCCTTCATCCCATGTGCACACGTGGTGTCGCGCGTCAGCACCTCCGCGTTTTTTTTAATTTTTTTTAAATAGTCTTTATTTTCTTATTTACCCCTCTCTCTCTCTCTCTCTCTATATATATATATATATATATATATATATATATATATATATACTAGTGTATATATATATATATATATATATATATATATATATATATATATATATATATATATATATATATATATACTAGTGTAAGGAATGTATTAAAAGTAAGATGTATTATATTGTCAGTAATTTTCATTTAATCCAAGTATAATTTTCGTCCACCGCAAGGAAAGTTGGCTCTCTGTGCCGCGCCAGGAAATTTTTCTCCCCGGAATCGATACTTCAAATATACAAATCAACCATTCGCCCTTGCATGGAGTATTCCTACCATATATGGTCTGGGGCACCTTCTGTTTACCTCGGAGTTCTTGACAAGATCCATAGGCGGATATGTAATATAATTGGCCCTGATCTGGCATCTCGTCTACAGTTGTTCTCTCACAGACGCGCCGTCGCGTCTCTCTGTCTTTTTTTATAAATACTTTCATGGTAATTGCTCCGAGGAGCTGCTTTCACTGGTTCCCAGACTCCATGAATTCAAGCGCCCTACGTGGCTGGCATCCCGCTCCCACTCTTATACTGTAGAAACTTTTAAATGTAGCCGTCTCTTCTACTCCAATAGCTTCATACCTCGCACCTCTCGCCTGTGGAACACCCTTCCCAATTACTGTTTCCCTGAAAGCTATAATCTCCAACTATTCAAATGTAATGTCAATCGACATCTCCAGTTACCTTGATCTATCCACTATCCCTCTCCTCATCCTTTCTTCTATCACTCCTATCTGATCTTGCTCCAAATCTTCTGCAACCCTCTGCATCCTAGTGGCTTCCCGCCTTGCTCGGGGCGTAATGGTTAAACAAAAAATAGTTCGTTGTTAACGTTAATAACTGAATAATGTATAATTTATAAACACCCCAGGAAAGATTAGCCGTATTTTAACCACATTGTGTGCGTGCGAACGTGTTGTACGCGTGCCTTTGTGACACACTTCCGGTGACCTTGACAGTCAAATTTGCTGATAGTCGATCCCACAATCCAAGACATCTCGAAGAAAAGTAACTTTATGTAAAATTTAATTCAAGAAGAAATAAAATATAAACCTTGTCCAAATTTTGTCTGACATATATTTATCTCCTCTCTCTATCCTTTTCTATTCCTCCCTTTCTCTCGTTCTTTCTTTCATTCTTTCTTTCTTTGCAGTTGTGCATCAGTTTCGTTTCGTGGCTACTTTTCATCACTCCTTCCGTTTTGATCGTAGTTCGTAGAGAGAGGGAAAGAGGGGATTGCTTTGTAGTTTGTCAGCACGGTAGCTTTTTGCATGTGGACATGAATGGGACCATGACTTCTATACGTCTCATGTCAAAATTTTGCACGTTGGCCCTCAACTGTTGCACACCCCAAAACTATAATAACGAATGTCTATTATGTTTGATTAAGAGCCGTTCTAAACTTTGTATAGTTGCTTTAATTTCAGGAGAAAATAAAGACAAAATTTGTCCAACATTTGGATACATTTTATTATGCTGTTCCTTGATCTAAGCTTTCGGCTCACACGAGCTATCATCAGAGGTGGTTATACGGACATTTTAACAAAGATATTCACCATCAAAGGTGATATTCTGTTATGTTGGCATAGAAGATTCCTGTGTGATGATAACGGTCGCGGAATAGAAGACGCAGGTCGTAAATTCCTGATGTGGTTTTATGACGTCGTACCACGTGAGAGAACGAAATATTAACAACAGAACCATATATCTAGATGCAATGGAATGTTTTGTGACTAGTTTGAAATGTAATTTTGTTGAGTGTGGGTTGCTTTGTTTTAATGTAGATAGCCTCAAATAGTAGGATGTTATAAACTTCAAAAAGATTATAGGTGACTATTAACCTGGCTATCTTTACGGAAATGTAAAAATCCATAAAAAAGATCATCCCTCTCCGTCCTATCATTTCACAAATACCTACAAGTCCTATTAATTAACGCATAACTAGAGAAGAAAAGATGGATTCATACCGTTCCTAAAGGTATTTGCCGGTAAGTGAATATAACAAACAGGACTTCAATTGGAACCCGGCTTTCTGATTTTCAATTCCGTGACGTTACCCATTACACCACCCGCATATCCAATCTTATAGCACTTGGTATCCCCAAGCGTCACCCATATGATATATTTAAATTATTTGTTGCAAAATTTGTTAACATTTTCTTCATCCGGGGTTGTTTTACATACTTACGTACATGTGTGCGCGCGTGTGTGTATGTGTTCGAACAGCAAGTCAAGAGATAATAAGGAAATACAGTGTGACCCGGATGTAAGAGAGTTGTCGGGACCGGAGAAGAAGTCTCTTATATCCGGGTTTCTCTTATATCCGGGTTTGGTCTATTTTGTTTACATTAACACAGGTTCTAATTTGGGACCAGAGAAAATCTCTCTTATATCCGGGTTTCTCTTATATCCGGGTTTCTCTTATATCCGGGTTACACTGTATAGATTTACATTAACAGAAACTTTATCACATTGGGTATAGAGAAAAGCAGTTTTTATCTTCCTTTTTGTTATATCGTGCCACTTACTTTTTCCTTCTTTCAAATAAATATATACGCACGCACAACTCGACCTAAACATTCGTACACAGGTGTTCATAAATTTACATTACTTCCTATCTAGGTAACTCAGTGCATATCTATCCATCTATGAGCCTAATCATGTTTTTTAATTATCTATCTATGAAGAAAATACTGTTTTATATCTATCTATCTATTATCTCCGGCCGAATCTATTTTTTACATATCACAAACTATCTATCTGGGACCCTAAAATGTTTTCTTATATCTATCTATCTAATCCTGTTTTCTATTATCTATACATCTAACTACAAATCTAATTTGGGACCAGAGAAAATCTCTATCTATCTATTTATCTATATATCCTATCTATCTATCTAATTCTGTTTTGCAGATCTATCTATCATCTATCTATCTATCTATCTATCTATCTATCTATTTAATCCTTTTTTTGTTATCTATCTATCTATCTTTCTATCTATCTTTCATCTATCTATCTATCACGCACAACTCGTTTTCAATCATTCTATCTAGGTATCTATAAATCTATCTATTATCTATCTATCTAGGTAACCTAATCATATTATCCATCTATCTATCTAATCTGTTTTTTATTATTATCTATCTATCTATGAATCTAATCCTGTTTTCATATCTATCTATCTATCTATCTATCTATCTATCTATCTTTTCATATCTATCTATCTAATCTATCTTTTCATATCTATCTATCTATCTATCTATCTATGAGCCGAATCATGTTTTCATATCTATCTATCTATCTATCTATCTATCTATCTATCTATCTATCTATCTATCTATCTAATCATGTTTTCATATCTATCTATCTAATCCTGTTTTCATATCTATCTATCTATCTATCTATGAATCTAATCCTGTTTTCATATCTATCTATCTATCTATCTATCTATCTATCTATCTATCTATCTAATTCTGTTTTCATATCTATCTATCTATCTATCTATCTATCTATCTATCTATCTATCTATCTATGAGCCTAATCCTGTTTTCATATCTATCTGTCTATCTATGAGGCTAATCATGTTTCATATATATCTATCTATGAGTCTAAATCTGTTTTCATATCTATCTATGAGCCTAATCATGTTTGCATATCTATCTATCTATCTATCTATCTATCTATCTATCTATCTCTTTTTTTTTAATCATTTCACCCCAAGCAATGCAACAATGCCCCTAGGACGCAAGGAATCACTCGGAGTGAATAAGAAATCTTTAGTATGGAACATAGATATTAGTAGAACACGCTTCAGGAAGACAAAATATGGCGATAGGCGTGGCATTTAAATAGATTTAAAGATTGTAGGTGTCATGGAAGTAGGAAATAGAAGGGAATTCCAATGATGAGAAGTGCGAGAAAAGAAACAATTAGAATATATTGTGGAGATGAACACACCTCTCCAGAATAGGAGTTGAACTTGTCCAAATACATATAGCCTGACGCCGAGAATCGTCAGTAGAAGGAAAGAAAAAGTAAGAGTAGGAGGTTAAAAAACTGGCCTTGTGCCATATCTTGCCTTGTGAGGAGGTTGGTAAATAGAAGGAAAGAAAAAGTAAGAGTAGGAGGTTAAAAACTGGCCTTGTGCCATATCTTGCCTTGTTAGGAGGTTGGTAAATAGAAGGAAAAAAAAAAGTAAGAGTAGGAGGTTAAAACTGGCCTTGTGCCATATCTTGCCTTGTGAGGAGGTTGGTAAATAAAAAGAAGGAAAGGTTAAAAAAATCTTGCCTTGTGAGGAGGTTGGTAAATAGAAGGAAAGTAGGAGGTTAAAAAACTGGCCTTGTGCCATATCTTGCCTTGTGAGGAGGTTGGTAAATAGAAGGAAAGAAAAAGTAAGAGTAGGAGGTTAAAAACTGGCCTTGTGCCATATCTTGCCTTGTGAGGAGGTTGGTAAATAGAAGGAAGGAAAAAGTAAGAGTAGGAGGTTAAAAACTGGCCTTGTGCCATATCTTGCCTTGTTAGGAGGTTGGTAAATAGAGAAGGAAAGAAAAAGTAAGAGTAGGAGGTTAAAACTGGCCTTGTGCCATATCTTGCCTTGTGAGGAGGTTGGTAAATAGAAGGAAAGAAAAAGTAAGAGTAGGAGGTTCAAAACTGGCCTTGTGCCATATCTTGCCTTGTGAGGAGGTTGGTAAATAGAAGGAAAGAAAAAGTAAGAGTAGGAGGTTCAAAACTGGCCTTGTGCCATATCTTGCCTTGTTAGGAGGTTGGTAAATAGAAGGAAAGAAAAAGTAAGGAGAGATCTAGCCTATCGGCTTGCTACCTATTTCAGCAACACTATGTCAACTCCATGCGACATTCTACTTCTTGATTTTGCTGCCTTCATTCAATGCAATGAAGACATAACAGTGGCGGCGAGAATTCGAATTCATAGGAAAAAATATTTTTGTTTCCTCCCTCTTAGCATAAATAGTTGGCGAAGAAAATTCAAAATTCACGGAAAAATTTTTTTGTGGAGTTCGTGTATAACGCGACGCGGAAGTCGATAAACTTCAAGGCTGTATAATTAGAAAAGAAAAAAAAACTTTTCTTCTTAGTGAAGAACTACTTATAAAAACAAAAAGCAAGGAACAGACAATGCGTCAATTTAAATTTCACTGGACTCAGTCGCTAACTCAATTAGTGAATTTAATTACATCCCAGAAGAAAACATTACATTCCTATTGTACTAAAGCTACGTAGCCATTTTCAGATAAGAATGTCAAGGATGGTCGTATTATCGGTTATTTTCAATTTTTCTACTTGAATTTTTCACCTACATTGCGTATGATCCATTACTGTATATAATTGGTTTACAATAAAATTTGTATTTTATGTGTACTACTTTATGAATATTGAGATGTATAACAGTGGAGTACCGCGTATCATAGATTGGGGGTGGGGACACGAGAATCTTACATCGGACCTGAAAGTGAGGACTTGGCAGTTCTGGCCCATATATGGAAGCAATACTTCATTTTTTTTATTTACCGTAATTTCTCGAAAATAATACGCATTTATTGACTGTAAATTACAGGTGATAGTAGGGGTGCGTATTATAAATAGGTTTAAACAAAATATTTTTCGTTATTGATTTATAATAATAAATACGTACTTGTTGTTCTAAAATAAGAAAGATATTATCCCAATTTTCATTTTAAATCCAACAATAATAATTGTAAAATTATTTTGTCAGTAAATTTATGTTTATTAGTAACCGCATTATTTATTTAGTGAAAAAATAAACAAATCTATAAAAATGCCAATTTCGAAGAAAAGAGGATATCAAGTTAAGAATTTATTGAAATTTTAATTTTCATCATCATCACCATTTTCTATTATAGAATCAATATTTAAATTGTCATTAAACAAATTATCATTCACAATATTATCTTCGTCCTGTTCAAAATTATTTTCGACCTCTTCATTCTCTTGCCAAAGGATGTCATCTTCAGAGCCATCCATAGCTGTCATGAGACAACACTTGTTGAAACCTCTCTTTATAACATTCTCTGACGGAATCCCAAGATTCCTGAATCTATTTTACAATAAGTTCCAACTCTGGTTTTTTTTCCTGTTGCCATTTATCGGGAAAACCGCATCGTAATTTTCAACATTATTTTAGCAGCATAGTTTCAATTTTATTCTTAATGTCAAGGTTGACAAAATGTCTTCGTAATTATTTTTTTTTTTTTTTGCTTTTTTTGTTTTTTTGTTTAACAAAATTTATAGATGTGTATTACACATAGGGATAGATATATTTCTTAATTTTTGGATCATTTGTTGGGGTGCGTATTATTTATGTATGCGTATTATTTTTGAGAAATTACGGTATTTATTCATTTATCTATGGATTTATTTTTCTCTGTTTCATTTACGGAGTTCAACGAGGAGCCTATTTCCCTAATTTTTTTTCTTTCGTTATGTTTTTAAGTGCAGATGTATTTATATAGTAATAATTTCTTACTATTGTAACTTTAAAAACAACAAAAAAGCATACCTGACATTATTAATAGCAGTTCACATACCCAATATAATTTTATTTACTAAAATAAAGTATAAGTAGGTTTACATCGCAAATTTTAATGGCAACTTTAACGAAAACAAATGTAACAGTGAATGTGTGCAAAGAAGAAATAGGCTTTAGATCCCACGTTCAGGCAGTAAAAATAATTTTCTGACCAATGATTTTCTGGCAACATGCTAGCAAACTAATTTTTTGACCAATGATTTATTAGTAGTAAGCCAGCAAAAATGATTTTCTGACCAATGATTGTAACACATTTTCTAGTTAAATATTTATGCTCTGCCTTTTTGAAATAGAAATGCAAATCCCACTTAAAAAATATCAAAAGTTAATTAAAATATTTAAAGTTTGTTCAATAGTTTAAAAATGCAATGTCCACGGAAAACTTATCAAATGAGAGTACATTCCAAAATTTTCTCTTCCTTTTTCAATCATGTATTGGTCATATTTGTTTTTTTTTTTTTTGTTTTTGTGAAAATACATTACTAGTATTCTTACTACAAAAATGTACTTTTATATTTTCCTAATGTTTTCACCCCATTTTAGGGGTTCATATTTGCCCATAGTTGGGACCTTAACAGGTGCTACCACCCCGGGTCATGTGACAACAACAACAATTAAGAGATGGTTTGATGTTTCTCAAAACCTCCCGATCTTGCTGCCGGATGTAATTTATTGTTATACCGAGGACGAGTATTAATTAGGATAATTAGGATATAGAATCCAGACAAGAAAATTGTAAAGAAAAGATAGCAGCATATAAATAACGACTTTTCTATAAAAGTCACTCAATTTTGTTCTTTTTTTTATCCCGCGAAACGCGAGCTTAGCGGGAAAATTACTAACGATTTATTATTTAAGCACACACAAACACACACAATATGAAGTCTAACTAAGGCGAAGTGTGTAATCTAGATTCAATTAAGCAGTTTTCCATTTGTGATATTCTTCAAACAGATATGTATATTTTTTATGTGATGATATTTATAAGGATGGACATCATAACAAGGGAGCTAACTCATTCTCTAGATGGAAACTAAGTTATGCTCCTTGATCAGAACTTTAGAGACAGAGAAGAAATGAGATTTCAAGATGACGCTCATGATCCCCGTCAGGACACGATTAATCGACTGGTCATGTTTACATGTATTGTTATTTAATAATGAATAAAAAATGTATAAAGATTCGAGTTGTGTGTTCGTTCTTATTTGATACAAATAAACACACATACAGACATAACAGTATTTTATGAATCGTCCGATATTATTAGAATTATAATCCGATAATAATTTTCTTCTTTGACAAAGCTATAGGGAAGTAAATGATATTTTCAGAAACTGGTCCTAACAACAAATCTGATGTCATCAGATTCATTATTCAACATTATGTGTCCATCATGATGTATTTTCTTATAAGAGAAAAAAAAATAAATCGTTTACAGTGCAATTACGACAAATATGTTTTTAAATACATTGACAGAATCTAGTCTTATATTACATGAACTGATGTCACGAATGCTTAGTGTCAGGGTACATGATACAGCCCCCCCCCACCAATCTAATCTATGATACGAGGTACTACACGGTACTACATTTAAATTATTCATATACGAATTTTATTGTAATCTAATTATATACAATAATGGATCACATGCAATATAGGTGAACAATTCAAGTAGAATTGAAAATAAATACAATGTATCTAAATACAAAGTAGAGTAATGTCATAAGAGATCATTCTATTTTAACTAAATCAACAACGGTTGCATAAACTTGAGATTTTTCTTGTTATAAAGTTGAATAATCTTAACATATTTGACTTTACGGATAAAAATTAATGAATTTTATATATATATTTTTCTAGACTAAGCATGGGCAAAACATATTCACAGATTTGAACAAAAAAAGAACCCAGAATGACGTCAAAATGTGTAAAAAAATTTAATCCTTTAATATTCAGTTGTTCTCTGTTTTATTTGTAACGTATGTAAATGTAGGTAGAAAAAATCAAAGAGAGCGAGAGTCAAACAGTAATGGCCGGGTCCTCCAATCAGGCTTGCACCTCCACGGGCCGGGTTGTCGAAGGTATACGCACTGGTCCTGGTAAGGGTAGTGGTAATATTAGACGTTTGCTTACAAGGAATTATTCATCATTTTCGGCTGTTTGCAGAAATTTATAAAAACTTTCTATTAAAACAATTTTTCAGGAAAAAATAGTATTCTCAAGTCCAGCAACTGTTATGGTTCTTTCACAATTGATGGACGCTTCCTTCATAACATTTTATTTCAAGTAGTGTGAACTTGATTATGTCATTATTTACTCTTCGCGTTACATATGCTATCCATTTTAGTTGTTGCCGCTGCTGAAAGTCCACAAATAATGTGGCTTCTGTTATTTGGTACAGTACTTTAGGATTTTCTAGCGCCAGTTCACTAGATTCGAAGATTAATGGGCCTCACTAAGCTCTACAGGAAAATAGGTTTCTCGAGTTCATGCAATATTCCTTGTCCACCTCCCGGGAAGAAGAAGTATAAGTAGTAGTAGTAGTACTAGAATAGTTGTAATAATAATAATAATAATAGGTAGTGCAGGGTTGAAAGCGGAAACTGAAGGTTTTATCCTTGCTGCGCAGGACCAATGCTTGCTAACTAGGAATTATCAAGCACATATACTAAAATATTGTGTCAGCCCAAAATGCAGATTCTGTGATAAATATCCAGAAACGATTGATCATCTTGTATCAGGTTGCACGGTGTTGGCACCCACTGAATATAAAACCCGACATGACAGAGTGGGCCAATATCTGCACTGGAAAATCTGCAACTTCTACGGGAAGGAAACTGAAAGAAACTGCTATGAACACCACCCAGACCCGGTTACGGAGATAGGGCCTGTTACAATTCTATGGGACTACACAATACACACTGACAGAACAATCAAGGCCAACCGGCCAGATATTGTTATTAAAGACCACAAACAAAAACGGTGCCTCCTTATTGATATGGCAGTCCCTGCTGACTGCAATGTATCTTTGAAGATATTCAAAAAGTTGTCAAAGTACAAGGACCTTGAAATAGAAATCTCGAAGATGTGGCAAATGGGAACATCAACAATCCCTGTTGTAGTTGGAGCCCTAGGACTGGTTGGAAAAGATTGCAGTAGACTAATTGAAGGGATTCCTGGAAGTCCATGCCAAAAGGAGATACAAAAAATTGTTCTGACAAGTACAGCCCACACCTTACGAAGGGCTTTATCTATGTAATTTAATTTTTTTTTTTTTTTGTCAGTGTCATGACGCCATTTCTAACCTTAGGCCCCTGGGCGGGACCCGGAAAGAAATGTGTAAACGCCAGAAATCAAAGATAATAATAATAATAATAATAATAATAATAATAATAATAAAATGATTCTACTAAAATTCCGGCATGGATAACCAAAGGAATTACTTTCTTTCTAATCAACAATGGCGACACAAATGTCACAAAAAACGACAAACCAATTACATGTCTTCCAGCTACTTACAAACTGTTGACATCTATTCTGACAAAACAGATATATTCCTTCTTAGAAACACATGACATACTACCTGTTGAACAAAAATGGTGCAAACGTGGCTCTTAGGGATGTAAAGGTCAATTACTTATGAATAGAATGATCTTGGAAAACTGCTTCAATACAAAAACAATCTCAGTACTGCCTGGATAGATTATTGGAAGGCATTCGATAGTGTACCCCATTTATGAATCTTGAATTCTTTAAATATATACAAGTTATCACCCGTCGTTATCAATGTCATCAAACAAAGTATGTCGATATGGAAAACAACACTTCACCCCAGTTATATAAATGGAATCTATAAATTTGGTGAAATAAATATCAACAGAATAATACTTCAAGGTGACTCTTTGTCTCCCTTTCTATATTGCATATCCCAAATAGCATTAATTAGAGAACTTAACAGGACGAAACATGGCGATAAGGTATTTCAAAAGAAAATAGGCCATCTATTTTACATGGCTGACTTAAAGTTGCATGCTAGGAATGACAGTAGCTGGAAGGTCTTCTGAAAACAGTAAAATGTTTCAGTGATGACATTGGAATGGAATGAAGTTTGGTTAAGTCTATTAGCTTAGACTCTTGGGTAACAATAAAAGAATTAGAGGAAGAAGAAGCTTATAAGCACCTCGTTACAAATGAGGGTGAAGGAATTCACCATAAAAAATTGAAAGAAATAGTGCGAAAAGAATACTATAGAAGGGTGCGATTGATATTAAGAACTGAATTAAATTCTCAGAACAGAGTTATGGCCAATAATAGCCTTGCCATCCCAGTGGTTTAATATAATTTCGACATCTTCAGTTGGACTCTAAATGATATCAAACGAATAAATTCTAAGACAAGAAAGCTTCTTTCTAAGCATAACATGCATCATCAAAAGGCTGATACAGGCCGTCTATACATAACCACGTAAAGAAGGTGGAAGAGGTCTTATTCAGCTAGAATTGGCATACAAGTCAACAACTATTGGCTTACTAACATACATCGAAACAGCAAAAGACTGGATGATACAATGAGTCAAACAACACGAAAACAGAAAGAAAAATATTCACTCATGAAAGAAGGTTGTAAATACAAACGAGATTTAGGTTTAATAGATTCTGTAGAAAACCAAAACGGAACACAAGACTCAACTGTTGCAGCAAAACTTATGAAAAAGAAAGCCAAGGATAACGGCATTGAAACAACACTGGTAAGGCAAACTATTGCGTAGCCAATATACAGAACGTGCTAATAAAGGCAATTGATGGTTACGACCATCTGGATTATAGGCTGAAACAGAAGGCATTATTCTTGCAGCGCAAGACCAGAGTCTTTTGATTAGAAACTTTCAGGCAATATATACCTAATAGTGTGAATCCAAAATGCGGGTTCTGTGGCAAATATCAGGAAACCATAGACCATCTAATCTCAATCTCAGGACGTTCTGTACTTACGCCAAATGAATATAGAAATCGTCACGATAGAGTGGGGCAATACTTACACTGGTCAATGTGCAAACACTTTGGAAAAGATATTAATAAACACTGGTACGAACATCACCCAGCATAGTGCATAGATAACTCTCCTACAGTGCCATTTTTATTCATAGACCCCGGACGGAAGTTGGTAATTAGTCACTTAAAATTATTCTCTGGCAAAATTGACAATATTGTATCAGGTTGCACGATATTGGCATCCACTGAATATAAGAACCGACATGACAGAGTGTGCCAATATCTGCAATGAAAAATCTGCAACTTTTACGGAAAAGAAACTGCAAGGAATTAGTATGAACACTGCCCGGTTATAGAGATAGGATTGCCCGATTATAGAGATAGGAACTGTAACAATTTTATGGGACTTTAAAATACACACAAACAGAACAAACAACGCTAATCGTCCAGACATCGTGTTCAGAGACCACAAAAACAAAATGCGCCTTCTTGTTGACATGGCAGTCCCTTCAGACTGTAATGTATCTTTGAAGATCTTCAAAAAAAAAAAAACTATCAAAATACAAGGACCTTGAAATCGAAATCTCAAAAATTTGGCACATGAGGACATCAACCTCTATAAAAAGAATACCCGCTCGGCCCGGTGGCTAGGATCAAAGTGTAGTATTTGCGCTTTGTGAGCTGCCGAGTCGGGTGTCTGTCGAATTCTCTGCTTGCAGAGAGGAACCCGGGCGAAGCTCCGCCGAAGGGTAGGGTTTCGTTGGGGGAGGTTGACGGAACTGGCCCGCCTCGGCGGGTTTGGATGGTTATTTATTTTTGGCTGGGCTTACGGGCTCAGAGATACCCACATTAAAAAGGCCTTGTGCCACATTCGATCCCCGTGGGTAGATTGATAAATACCATCAACAATTACAGCTGCAGCTGGAGCTCTGGGATTGATTGGAAAAGGTTCCGATAGACTCATTGATGGGATCCCTGGTGGCCGAAGCCTTAAAGAAATACAAATATATATATATATATATATATATACGCACAAGTACAGCTCGCACATTGCGAAGAGATTTATCTATGTAAAATGTGTGATCTTATGATTTTATTTCCTCAAAAAATGCTCTGTGGAAAATAACATGATGCCATTCCTGACCTTAGGTCTCTGGTTTGGACCCAGACTAAATAGGCATGCACCAGAAAGTAGAATAAAAATAATAACAATAATAATAATAATTGGCACCACTCAGGCCAAAAGTCAAGACGTCTTGGTAAAAATAAAAGTAGATATTTACTTGACCCCCCACTGAGTCAGGATGTGACACAAGGTCAGTTTTTAAAGTGGGGAACCCGAATGTTTCCACTCGGGCCGCTGGTCCAAACCTGGTCTTAGCTGGTCATAGCTTGTCCAAGCTGGTTAGAGCTGGTCTAAGCTAGTCATAGCAGTGATACTTACCAGCCCAGGGACGAGCCCTGTGCCAGGTAAGTATCACTAAAAATAATAAAAAAAAATAAATAAAAATAAAAAAAAATTAAAAAAAATAAAAGTAAAAAATAAAAAAAGTAAAAATAAAAGTAGATGGTTTTAGAAACAAGAGAGAATATGACGTAATTAATTATTTGCATAATTTATAACGTCATTAATGGAAGCGTATGCTTTGATTACTAACTTACACTGATATTGTTTTATTTGATGCAAAGAAAATGTCTACAATTACGGATATTCAATCGACTATCTCAACCTCAGGAATATGGCCACGGTTTAAACAATACATCTTCGAGTTTTTCTTCTCTTGCCTCATTCAATGCGAAAAACCACTTCTTCCGAACCTTCTCCCAGAGGTGTCAGCAAATGAAAAAGTCGATCATTGGCTGTGCGATGTCCACGATTATAAACTGCACCAGCATTTAAACCGGCAAAAAATGCTCAAACGCGTGTCACGTCCGAGACCTGTAAAGTACTGGAGACCAATTCTACCAGAAGTTCCTGAAAACTTCTGATTATGTTTTTGAGGCGTCGATAATATTTTGCTTTTCTCAGGGACATTTTAATTTCGGATTTCAAAATGTAAGAGAGTTGTGCTTCATTTTTAAATGATATTCTTATTTCTTTACAGAGAAACATCTCAGGAAATAATTACGGATAAAATAAAACTTCCCTATTGACTCTAAGGCTAAAGAATATTAATGTTGAATATTTAAATGCTATAAATATCATAATCTCACCCCAATCCCACATAAATGTTAATATGAACCAGCATTTCCGGTTTTGTTGCAACTTGATCTCTAAAAATCCCTTCATCAACTCATTTACCTCATATTTCCTTTCGGTCAAATTTTGATACCACTTAGAACTTCAAAAAGGATTACTTGCTGGCTATTAAACAGAAACACTTGGGATCGAGGTAAAATAATATCAGAAATAATAATAATAATAATAATAATAATAAAGATAAACTAAATGATGATAGATATAATCTATTTAGAAATGTTCCTATTGACTCAGGTAAATGAAGGCTCATGTTGAATCTTTAAATATTATAAACACTTTTGGTTAAAAACAATTATCAAAGATTATATCATGGTGTTATAGCATGCCTACGGATGATAATGGGTATGTCGCCATTCCCATAAGTACAGTAGTGAATACTGTCCGTGGTCTAGAGATGGAGATTCGTCTCCAGCTGTGCTGGTCAAACTCTCTGCATCCGGACAGAGAGGATCCCCAGACGAGGCTATGTCGAAGGGCAGAGTCTCGTCTCGGGAAACAGCTACCCGGCCCCCTTTTATACGAGGTCTACGGGGAATTTTTCGCCGGGCCTACGGGCTCGGATATCCCACATCAAATTCGGCCTTGTGCCACATCTGACCGCGTGGAGCGGTTGGTAGATATCCTAGAGTTGGAGATTCATTGTGGAATTCACTTGACTACTATTTCTACGCGCCGCTGTTGTTCTTGTCTTCGCGGATCTTAACTATTTGCGGCTGGTTCTGGTCCCTAATCCCCACGAATACGGGGAGGGGTGGTCACTATATATATATATATATAAATACATATATATATATATATATATATATATATATATATATATATGAGAGGGAGAATCATAATTGTTGTTGATAATGTGAAAGTTTTCACTTTTTCTCTCTATTTCACTTTACACCCGGTTTTTCAGATTCACTGAAGTCTTATTAATCAATTCATAGCTGGAATAACGAACCCGATTGGAATGTGAAACTCGGCTTTGCGATTTCTAATCATCATCTACATCCCCACGACCAAGTGTGGTCTTAGGGTCGCTGCACAGTATTGTTCTCTCTCCTTAATAATGTTTACTTTTTCTCATATTCTCTCACACGCATTAATCCCCTTGCGTCTTAGTGGCTTTATTGTCTTTGCTTGGGGTAAAAAAAAAATGATTAAAAAAAATAGAAAACCCTCCGTCCAATCTCTCTGCCCAAATAAGTCACGGAGGGACGCGGCACATAGAAGAATAATGATTTTTTTTTTCATGTAGGGGAGATAACCCATGCAGAGAAATCAATCATCCCTCTGGCACTATTATTAGTCTGAAGATAACGTGATCAATTGTTACTAACGTTTATGCAGAGATAACTGAGAATTAAAATTGACTTGTAACAAAATAATTTTATTATTCTTTTTCTGTAAAAGTCTAATTTAATACAATTCCATTTTTATGAAATTATTTCATTTAAAAAGCTTATAAAAATAATTTACAATGATTACTTTTTTGTTAAGTTTACTTACAATAAGCAAAACGTTTGGGGCAAAATATAAGAAATTAATTTTTTCTGGAAAAGAATAGGAGAAGAGAGAATTTCCAATTTTTCTTATCTCAATTTAAAAAAAAAAAAAAGGCTGGAAACTACTTTGTGAAATGTGTAAGTTACAAACATCTATAAACTGACACAAAACGATAACAGATTACAAATTTTACCAAGAAGGCTTGCACAAAGATTTCAAGGTAAGACAATATGACGAAATTATCGAAACAATTGGCTCTAAGAAAGATTCACAATAAAAAAAAAAAATTTCAAATCATGAAAGAAAAAAACTTAGAGATGGTAATACAAAAACCGTTGAAATTAAGAAGAAATTACTTTTCGACAAAAAAGTGGTGCACCCACCTAATAGAAAAAAAGAAAAAAAAATTAGAAAAAAAATACGGTGTATTTCTCTCGAGTTTCTCAGGGAGGTTTTAAGGATATTTTTTCAATATCGTTCTGTTTTCAAAGTTTTCCATTCGTAGTCGGCCTAAGAGTGCTCTTTGTTATTTTTCGTCGTCGTGGTTTTCAAGAAATCAGAGACATTTCTGCGTTTTGCACTGCTGGCTACTTTCTCACTAGGAAACCTTCGTCCCTACCAGCCGGACCCCTTCTGTGTGACGTATCCACTTCCATAAGTCGCAGCCATCAGTTTCTTTTCATTCAGTCGTTCAACCATCTTCTATGGTCTCTCACAGACTTCTGACTCTTATCCACCGCTTGTGGTTATATACCATCGGAAATGGCTTAACGGACCTAAAATTTACAATGGCGAAAGCCACCATTTTCATTGAATAATAGATACGAGTGTAATATATTTTTTTTTAAATTTGAAAAGTGAATACCCATGACTGATATTTCTGGTGCCCCTTTTTAGGGACAATTCTAAACAAAAACTTTTACATACAAAATGAAAATTTTTAATTAAACATCTGGTTTTCCCTTTTATACACTTATCCCAAAAGTAAGGGTTATAAGACCAACAGATTATTTAACATTTATTTATTAACAATTTTAATTAATGATTAATTTTAATTATTTTACACTACTAACGTATAAATAATTTTATAAGCTTTGCAACAAATCAAAAATTATGTTTCTTTTTCTTGTTCTCGTAATTTTTTTTTACTGTAAGAATTGATCTGGAATGTCAACTAAGAAACTACCTTGTTGAAAACCATTCATACAAAAAATTAATCATTGTTTATCTGAAATTAAAATATTTTATATTATATGCACATGATATATGTCAACAGAATACAAATTTAATGAAAAGAACAATGGCTACATCAGGGAAAGAAGAATTTCTTAAAAAATAACAAAATCTTCTTGAATAAATCGAACTGTTTTATTGAAATAAAAACTGCAACAGTTAACAATGGACAAGTAACCAGGAACAAGTAACAAGGAACAAAATGTCTCTTCAAACAAATTCAAAGTAGAAACATGAAAAAATTGAAAAAGTTGAACAAATGAAGAAAGTCTTTGTAAAATTTGGTCCCTTGTGTCATTAGTGATGGGTTATTGGGAAGAAAATCCGGCAAAATCATTTTCATTGCCAAAATGAATGTCGATCGTAAAGTTCTTCATGTGTTATTTTCGGTAATTTGAATTTGGCAGCGCGAGAAAAAATGTTTTTGTTTTTTATTTCTCATAAATCTGGAATACAGTTTTTTCAGGAATTAAATTCAAACATAATTTACTGAAAATGATTTACCGGAAATTATTTGTTTATGATTCACCGGAAAGTCATAATGTCAAAATTTTTACTATTATTATTATTATTATTTTAATGAAGCTATTAACTAATAATAATGATGATGAACATCATCATCTTGTAATAAATTAATGACCAAATTTGAAAACAAATTCCCTTCTTGGCCTGTCAATTCTTTCGGACAATTTTTCTCGGCTGTCCTTAGCCGGGTTTTAAAACGAGTTTCCTACTCGGTGTATAATTTGTGTGTGTGTGGAGGCTAATTTTCCCATTCTACAACTGCTACGGCGGATAAAATCTTGTTTCTGTATTTGGAAGGTAAGCCTTTTTGTGGGGTAATTTTTGAAGTTGTTACCCACAATGGTGTTGGAAAGTATAATTTCCTTAGAGGCACTCGTTTGAACATTCTTCTGCAAGTGCTGGCAAAGTGAGCCGCCAATGTTTTAAGCTTTTTGGGTGTGTCACACGCCTGAGTATTTCTGCTCGATCAAAATTCTTCTTAGAATTATAGTCTTGGACACTGCATAGCCAGTCGTTAACTTTGGTATTTACTTCTGTTTCCGGAAGTAGTTTTGGATAAAATGGAATCTCCTACAGACTTATGCAAGGCATGAAGATCTTGCGGAGCAATTGCTTTAAGTGTCGCCGTGATGCTGGGGTGAAAATTGTTAGTGGAAAATCCGTTATCGTAGACATATTTCCGATCAGGAACAAAGATGTCTGATAATTTTTCAACGATAAAAAAGTAGTAAAGATGCTATTGATGACGTTATAAAAGATAATTACGTCATATTTCTTTTCCAAATTCTCCAACAGATTTCATTCTGTTATCGTGAAAAAGCAAAAGATTTTAAAAAATAAAAAAAAATATGTACATATCCAAATTTTTATATAATATTTTTTTTTCTATGTTCCCTGTGAATGTTTGGTATTTTGGTAAATGTTGAATTGGGTGAAGATGGGTGGCTTCTTGGTTTTGTGATTGCGTCAGTTGCAAGAATGAATGGTCGTCGTGAATCAGATTAGCTAGGTGTAGGATAGCCAGTAAAGACTTCCTCCATTCCCCCTTCAGCCATGTGCCACATAAAATGTACTTAATTGAAAAATAAAATATTATCGTGAATATTTTCGATAAATATTATCCAAAACAAATAAGTGAGATCTCGGCGCAGATATTTCTTGTTTTTTTTTTTTTTTTATATATATATATACGCAAAAATAGTACTATATATGATATTAGCATAGATGTTTTCCATGTTACATAAAGCATTGGCTATTATTTTAATTTTTGATTTGTATTTTTTTATTTCTTTAATTTCTATGACTTTTTATGTCAATTTCCCAGACTGTCATTCTCCAAAACTATTGATATTTTTACGAAATGCCCTTTGACATTATTTCGGCAGAAAGTAATATTATTTCGTGTAAAATCTTATGTGACAAACATTAGTCATGTAGCAAACCAACATCTTTTTGATTGGTTGGCTTCATGTAAAAACGAATTCAAAAATTTTTCGGCAAACTTGGACCTTCATTCCAGCAAAAAGATAAAGTGCCAAAAGAACGGTTTTCACATGATACCGCTTTTATTTTAACTACCTTCACTCCTTGCCAATGTTTATTGCTTTAAAATGTCATCATTAGAATTGTAATAAAACTCAAACATATGAAAGTGAATTCATATCTTTTCTTTATCAGAATTACTGAAATTACAACAAAAATAATAAATTTAATAAATATATTTCCCTTGCGTCTTAGTGGATTTATTGTCTTGCCTGGGGTGAAACGATTAAGATAAAACAGTGTCCTCTTTCAGTTGGTTGTGTATTAAAGAAAATTCTTTTTTTTTTTCTTCTTCCTATTCATCATCATCATCATCATCTTCTTCTTCTTCTTCTTATTATTATTATTATTATTATTATTATTATTATTATTGTTCTTTGTCTCTTCAAAACGTAAGCAGTCTTATCTTTCCACTATTTTCCGTCCTTGTAGCTTTAAAAAAAAAATGTCTTTTTCATATTTCCCCTAAACCTGTTCCGCCATCCGTTTAATCAAGCTCATTAAGTAGGTTATGCGTTGTTTTTCTCTGTCATTTTAGCTTCAATCTGCCCCGTGAGTATCAGATTTTCCAAACCTCATTATATGCCTTAGAAATTTCAACTGCCTCATCTTCGCCATTGCTGACATACTTAGTAGAACCACGTGACAGTTGCTTCAAGTCTCTTCTTCATCGTTGATGAGCTTGTCCAGCATCTACTGCCATATACGGCAAAAGATGCCACATAACAGTACTCTTTCTTTTGTTTTTATCAATGATTTTCTGTTTCTTAATACTCTGCTTAGCTTTTGGAACGCATCTTTGCCTATCCCAATGCGCTTTCAAATTTCAGTGTCTCACTTTTTGTCTCCAGTTAAAACACTTTCCAGGCATTTAAATTTTTGTACTTGTTTGATTTTGCTATCTCCGATTTGTAATTTGCATTTTGGAACAAAGATTTAAATGAGTTGACAACTTTTAATGGTTGACAATCGGAGAAATCATTATTTTCCCCTCCAAGAAATCATTATTTTCCCCTCCAAGAAATCATTATTTTCCCCCCAAGAAATCATTATTTTCCCCTCCAAGAAATCATTATTTCCCCCTCCAAGAAATCATTATTTTATCTTCCAAGAAATCATTATTTTCCCCTCCAAGAAATCATTATTTCCCCTCCAAGAAATCATTATTTCCCCCACCCAAGAAATCATTATTTTCCCCTCCAAGAAATCATTATTTTCCCCTCCAAGAAATCATTATCCACCCCCCACAAGAAATCATTATTTCCCCCACCCAAGAAATCATTATTTTCCCCTCCAAGAAATCATTATTTTCCCCTCCAAGAAATCATTATTTTTCCTTCCAAGAAATCATTATTTTCCCCTCTAAGAAATCATTATTCCCCCCACCCAAGAAATCATTATTTTCCTCTCCAAGAAGTTATCTTCTTCGTTGAGATGTCATTAACTTCTACGACTAGACAGCATTTCCTTTTCTTTCATACAGATGTTGAAATGTTAGAAGTTTATGAATTGGTTGTTTGCATTAGAATTAGTTGAAAGAGTCAGTTCTGTTACTTTCGACTGTCCCATCCGTAATCATCAGGAGAGAGGTGATTATAGTTAATAAATGTTAAAGAAAGATGAAAGTTTCTAATTAGTGCTTTAGTCTCTTGAGAAATTTATTGACCATTAATCAGTTAAGATTTGAATTAAAAAAGATCTGATGTTTATGTAATACTGCGTGGCATGATGTCGTGCGATTGACGGGCATTTCAGATTACAATCACCTGAGAACGTCACCGACATTATTGAAGGAAATCAAACTTCTGAATGTTGGACAAAATTTTTTTGCTGGAGGTAAGATATTTAACAGAATGCTCACTGATTCCAAATACGGCAAAAGTTCTTTTTTAATGTGTGGATGCCATGTCTACATAAGACTCGTGTCTAAAAATATTCCATTTTTTCATGTGAAGATATTTACCAGAATCTTCATTGGTTCGAAATGCGAAAGAAGGAATTTTAATGTGGGACACCAATTCTAAATGGGCCAGAGTTATTTAATAAAAATAATCAAGTTCATTTTTTAGAATTTCATATATTTAACAGAACATCCACACGTTACGAATACAGAAACTTTTATCGAGAAGATACGCCGTCTTCTATTCTTTTCAGTTGTTTATATATTTTCAGTGATTGCATTTATAAGAAATAATGAATAAACACTGTGATGTAACGCATAATAATTTGTATCTTATTGTACATCTATTTGGTACTGTTTAGTTATTACTTTCCATGTTTCAACTGAGTTTAAGTCTATACTACCTGACCCAAGGATTGAACTCACAATTACTTTATCACCAAAGTCACAACACTTAATCAACAACACTTTAATCTGCTAAGTTATTACCGCGTGAACCGAGAACAAACAAAATTTTAACTTCTTTTAAACGTAATATTCTTCTTTCTTACCAGTTGTTGACACTGCAGTTGCTGCTCTGCCACGATCGGCTGTATTCCCTACCGTTATTCTTTACTTACTACTGCCCCTACTGCTGAAATCTCGTTATCACTTTTTTTACATTGTTTTTTTTTTTAATGGCTTTCTTATGGTATTTATTTCTACTAGCGGGATTCAGGGAATTTCCACGGACTCACTAATAGATTGTTGAGTAAACAATAAATATTTCTACATATATGTATGTATAAAAAAAACACATTGAAGAAAGAGCAATGAAAATCTCTACATATATAATAGAATGAAATACTTAAGCAGCAAATAGTAAAATTGCGTATATTTGTACAGGTATATTTATATAATAAATACATAAAGTTTAGCTATTAAATGTATCATTTTTAAAACATACAATACTGATAGTCTGGGAAAATAAACAACACATAGAGATATTTGGGAGTGTCCACAATGTGTGCAAAGACTCCTCACTCCCAACATAGAGCCATACTAATTTCCTTCAGTATGAATACAGAAAACAATAGACCTATATATGTAAAAAACTATATAATACATGCCACATATAAATATCCTCCTTTGAAAGATATTCATATATATATATATATATATATATATATATATATATATATATATATATATATATATATATATTATTATAAAGTAATTGATTTAAAATATGTTTTTTTCGCTACACAGTTCTAACCATGTTTCAAAATGGAAGCTAAAAGCCCTGAATTTAATTTTTGTGATTAAAGACATTAGTTCCATTTCATCCTCAAGCGAATACATACATACATACATATATATATATATATATATATATATATATATATATATATATATATATATATATATGCGTGTGTGTGTGTGTGTGTTTGTGAGCGCGCGAGGGTGTGTGTGTGTATAAACCAAGGACACACCTAAACCGATCAAAAGTCTCCAGAATTTCTGAATTCACCCCACTCCTTCAAGTCAGTACCTCTCGGCAGACAATGTTCTTAGTAACAGTTCGTCCTCTTCTCCTTTCTTGTCTGTCTGTCTTCATCAACTTAACCCTTACATCTGAAAATTTGCGCGCTCTAGAGTATGCCACATAAAATTGCCCATGACTGAACACTGACTGAGGTAAAAACCATTCCACCTTCTTAAATGTCTGCCCTGTGACTTGTTAACAGTCATGTCATATGACAAACAGACAGGAAGCAGGATTCTCCACAAGGTGAATGGCAAGTTAGAGTCGCTTGGAGCCAGATTTATTCTGGGGATGAGGAAAAGTCTACCAATTAGTGAGCCACCAATCAAGGAATCTTCGTTTGAATGTTGATGCATGGTCACTACTTCTAGTATTGTACCATTGCAGAGTCCATTCTGGATAGAAATGTTACAAAGAAGCATGACTATTGAACCGGTTTTAAACTCAGTTTATGCGGAGGCATTCCTGATGGTGTCAAAGAGATTACAAATTCAAGTGGGTAGCGCTCAGCCTCAGCAGGATCATCAGTCAAAACTTTATCTGTACTATAATAGGTGCAGAAGTCACCTGGAAGTTGTCTCAAAACTTCTTCATTGTTCAGGAAGTAGTTTGAGTTCTTTGGCGAAAGAATTACTCTGCTGCTTCTCTCTTCTTCAGATGTATTGTGATGATATCATCCATCAGAGAGCCGTCAACGCATGAAATTTGAACCATCAACAGCAAGATTAGGGTCTTGTGAAGCTACTGATGTTCCATTGCCAAGATTCAAGAGCCATGCTGAAAATTCCCTTTGATTTGTCATGATGATTTGCCTTAATCTGTATTGACAAAAATGATCTCAATATATATATGATCCAAATATATATATATTCTCAATCGGCAATGATCCAAACAAATTTATCTGATCTCAAGTTGAGCAGATATATATATATATATATATATATATATATATATATATATATATATATATAAATAAATATATATATATATATATATATATATATATATATATATATATATAAATTGTAGTGCATTGATTTAATGAAATTTATATAAAAAAAATATATAAAAGATTTTTTCGTATGCATTTTGCTAAGTGTAATACTAATAATTTGTCTTAATCTCATTTGTCAAACATTTTAATATTATAATTATTATTAAATGAATTTCACCTTTTGGTTGTCACATATGGTTTAGATGTCGGCGTGGGTTGATTATAGAAATTTGCAACACTGTATGTGTCGACCGACATTAATATACTTTCAAAATTTCTTATGTTGCTTGCGGGCAGATGCCGGGTACCAAACGAGCTCTAACCACTGAGATCTTTGTTGCTTTAAATCCAACCGTGCATCTTTGGAAATGCATTAGATTTAAAATGTTCCAGAAACATTTCTTTTAGTTTTCATTAAGAGTTTTCTTCTTTTATTTTCGAGAAAAACGGTTCACATTTATACGTACAATTTACGTTGTATTTACAATTAGTTTTATATTAAATGTTGACATATGTACATACAATTGCTTTTGTTAAATCACTATTACAGTGTAACCCGGATATAAGAGAGTTGTCGGGACCGGAGAAGAAGTCTCTTATATCCGGGTTTAATCTATTTTGTTTATATCCAGGCTCTAATTTGGGGTTTCTCTTTTAGATCCGGGTTTCTCTTATATCCGGGTCTCTTATATCCGGGATACACTTAAAATATCCGGGTTTGGTCGATTTTTTATATACAATTAACACAGGCTGTTAATTTGGGAGCAGAGAAAACTCTTTTAGATCCGGGTTTCTCTTATATAAAAGTATTTTTGGTCTATTTTGTTTGAATCGTTAAAAATATAAAAAAGGCTAAATAATTTGGGAGCAGAATGCTTCTCTAATTTATAACATTCAATAAGGGTTTCTCTTATATCAAAGGTTTGGTCTATTTTGTTTAGGTAACACAGGCTCTAATTTGGGACCAGACACATATATATATATATATAAAATATCTCTTAGATCCGGGTTTCTCTTATATATATATTATATCCGGGATACACTGTTTCGCTTGGAAAACAAAGCGTAAATTACAAACTTGAAAAAGTTGTCTGCTTATGTTATTATTTGAAACGTTGATTTTTTATTTTCACGTTTCAGTTTCGTCAACGTTTAAAAAATATAATTTTTTTTGTTTGTCTTGAAAATAATATACAATCTAAAAGACAGAAGAACATTTGTATATAATGCTCGTTCGATCGTTTCAGGAAATAATTTCATTATTTTCCTTAAAAAGCTATAAAGTATTTCTGTATTCACGTAGGATGACAGTCTGAATCGTTATGATAAAAAGTATACAAAAATGAAAGAAATACAATTAAAAACAAAAAATAATTTATAATGCTTCACGTAATTTAAATAACAATCAAACCTATATTATATTACTCACTAATATTCAAAGAAGAAAAGGCAGAAACTCGGTAATATTGATTATTTGTTCTGGGGGAACAGTTATAGATTTTCACTAAAACGAAAACTGTAAATTTACCACACACACAGACATGCACACAGACACACACAGACAGACACACACACACATTTATATATACATACATATATATTAAGAAATGGAAAAAGTTAAAAACAATTTTATTTATTCATCAGTAGTATTTTAAAGGCACGTCAGCGTAAATGACGGTTCCGTATAGGATCGTTAATAATGGTTCGAATCCTGTCAAAGGACGAATATTTTCTATGAAAATTTCTAAAATAACGTGACATTAAGGCCGGTAAATGTTATTTAATGTTTGTTTATTATAAAAAATGAGTTTTAAGAAAATTTAAAATTTAAATACAATTGTATCTATGAAAAAAGAACGTTTAAACATAGAAAAATTTAGTTATTAAAATATATGAAATATATATATATATATATATATATATATATATATATATATATAGCTATATGTTATTATAAATAGTTCTAAATTAATTATTCATAGGAAAAACTTTCTTCTTAAGAAAATAGTGATTT